TTATTTTCATGTTTAAATGCACACATTATCTATCTATCTATCTATCTATCTATCTATCTATCTATCTATCTATCTATCTATCTATCTATCTATCTATCTATCTATATATCTGATATCTAATAAATAAATAAATAAATAAAATGAAGCTTGTTTCCACCACAGAATGAAAAATAAAAAAGGTACGACTTTTTATCTCACAATTCTGACTTTTTTTCTCACAATTGCAAGATATTAAGTCAGAATTGCGAGTTATAAAGTCAGAATTGAGATATAAAGTCAGAATTGCGAGATATAAAGTCAGAATTGAGATATAAAGTCAGAATTGCGAGATATAAAGTCAGAATTGTGAGATATAAAGTCAGAATTGAGATATAAAGTCAGAATTGTGAGATATAAAGTCAGAATTGTGAGATATAAAGTCAGAATTGCGAGATATAAAGTCGCAATTGTGTTAAAAAGTCAGAAATGCATACTTTATATCACGCAATTCTGACTTTATATCACGCAATTCTGACTTTATAACACGCAATTCAGACTTTATATCTCGCAATTCAGACTTTATATCTCGCAATTCTGACTTTATATCACACAATTCTGACTTTATATCTCGCAATTCTGACTTTATATCACACAATTCTGACTTTATATCACACAATTCTGACTTTATATCTCGCAATTCTGACTTTATATCACACAATTCTGACTTTATATCACACAATTCTGACTTTATATCTCGCAATTCTGACTTTATATCACACAATTCTGACTTTATATCACACAATTCTGACTTTATATCACGCAATTCTGACTTTATATCTCGCAATTCTGACTTTATATCTCGCAATTCTGACTTTATATCACACAATTCTGACTTTATATCTCGCAATTCTGACTTTATATCTCGCAATTCTGACTTTATATCTCGCAATTCTGAAAAATAAAAAAGATAATTGCGACTTTTTATCTCACAATTCTGACTTTTTTTCTCACAATTGCAAGATATAAAGTCAGAATTGTGAGATAAACATTTTTTTATTCAGTGGCGGAAACAAGCTTCCATTGAAATCAAATTAAAATGAAAACTGAAAATATAAAACTAATAGCTAATTCAGAATATGAATAAATGCAATAGTAGTATATAATAAATAATACTGCTAAATGAATACACGTAAAATATAAATGTACTAAAATAACACTGGACTGATTGTGTTTTACTTGATCATGTGAGGCACGGTGACTTTAGAGTTGTCCTCAAACACGCTGGTCATCAGGCCATTGCAGCGAATGTTGTCAATGCACTGTGTAGAAATCAAATAAATGACACATTTTACCTTTTCAAACTATTTTTAATTAAACAGTTCATCTGAAACATATAAAATTGTAGACAAATAAATTAACCCAAATGTGTATACTGGTTCATGTCTACAGGGCAAAGTGTATAACAGACAGCTCTTGATAAATATACTATGCAAAAACTGTCAAGTCAGTGAAACTATTTGTGTCAATGCAAATATAACCGAAACTTCTCACTTGCGTTGCTTTCTAGAAAACAACACACAGCTGTGTGTAAACTGGGTTGACTGAATCTCTTTATTATCTATATACTCTGTATGATTCTTATGAGTTGTAATATTCTTGAAGCTTGTTCTATAGATGTACATATTGTGAAAGGTCTAAAAAAGGAGTGTTAAAGTCATCACGAAATGGAGGAGGCAACAGATATTTTTTTCCATATATTGTGACATACATCTGAATGTAGCGGATTATTAAAAAAAAAGATAAATGTAGGGTGGGGTTGCATGGCTCTGCGCATCAGTTGCTGATTGGATGTTGAGATGTGGGCGTGGCAGAAGAAAGAAAGCTTGCAGGGGCAGATTTTAAACACACTAAATGATTGGAGAAACCCTGCATACATCACCAGAGAAAAGTCTGACATTTGATATTTTGATTACAATTAAGTCATTAATTGTGGTTGGTTTTGACATTGGCTGTCATGAAGCCATTATAACATTTTAATGACAAATTTAATTAGTACCACTGTAGTAGAAAAATATTGATGACACAGTTATAATACCTCATGACAGCCAATGTCAAAGCCAACCACATGACAGTTTAACTTCATTTGATGCGACAAAAACACTGACAGGTTATGATGTATTGGTTTATGTCAAGGTGTCATAACAAAGACATCTCAAACAATCATATTTGCATTCAAAATGTCATTATTGAGCGAAAGACTCTTAATGTCAGTTGTCATAAACATGCATAAACCCTACTTCATATGTCATGTCATGGTTATAAAGGTGTCATGTCAGTCTTATGCACACCCCTTCAAGTAAAGTGTCACCCATAAAGCATTTATGAGGGAAAAAAAAACTATTTGGGCCTTTAAAGTGGTAGTTGTGTAGCTGTCAATAGACAGACATTTCATCAAAGAGATCCAAAGATAAACGAATACGAGTTTTGAACGACATGAGGGTGAGTAATTAATGACAGAATCTTCATTTTTGGGTGAAATATGCCTTAAAGTCACCATGAAATCAAATCGGACAATTCTTATTTTTTTTTTTTATGAAATACTGAAGTTTATTATAAAAAATGTGTCGGTACACAAATTCATGTGCCTTGTAATCTTTAATCAGAATAACATCGTTTCACTTGTATATGCGTCACACTAAGGAAGAAAAGTTGATTGCAACTTCCGTTCCAAGTCTATTTCAAAGACTGCGAGGTTGATGAATAATGACACACGGATGAATTGTTCACAATAGGAACTATAACATGCATTGCACACGGACTTCCAGCATGTAGCGTGTAGACTGTACCTGGCTCACGTCGCTGGTCCAGGCAGCTTTCTCCTGCCGAGACGGAGCCAGCAGAACCACAGAAAACGACGGACCATCGGCAGGTTCAACCACTATTTTAAACTCCAGATGATTGAATCCCTGACCAGCAGCATTATCTGAGGAGATGCGGAATCAAAATGAACTCTGGTTACTTCTTTAATAAATGTGCTCATTGCTATAAGGTTTATCTTGGATATTTTGCTTGCTTCGGGTTGTTGGTATTGCTATGTTGGGTCTTACAGTCTTCATCACTGGCGTCCAGCTCCTCGATAAGCGTACAGTCGATCAGAGACAGCGTGCCTCCTTGCTGTGGATTTGATGAAAGGTACTCGGTTATTTTATGCGTTTGCATGAAACGGTTACAGTCAGGGCTTGACATTAACACTCGGGTGTATTTCAGCAGTGGCGTGTCACTTCCACTCCCAGTGGCCGGTTGAATTTTATATATACACTGTAAAAAATATTGTTGGTTTAACTTAAAAAATTAAGTTACCTGGTTGCCTTAAAATTTTAAGTTGATTGAACTGGAAAAAGTGAGTTAATACAATGAAGGAGATTAATTTAATCATCAGAAACTCCAAATAATAAGTTATCTCAACTAAATAAATTATTTAAGTTGATTTGACAAAAGAAAAAATGTTGTGATAACAAATCTTAAAAATATTTTTTCTACAGTGTACATTTTCAATTGTAGTTTTTTAAAGGGGTGGTATACTGCCCTTTTCACAAGATGTGAAATAAATCTCTGATTTCACCATGAGTGTGTGTGTGTGAAGTTTTAGCTTAAAATACCGCACAGATATGTTTATATAGCATGTTAAAGTTGTCACTTTTTGAGGGTTAGCAAAAACGCACCGTTTTGTGTCTGGCCCTTTAAATGCAAATGAGCTGCAGCTCCCGACACAGTGGGCGGAGCTTCAAGAGTGTGTGTTTTAGCAGCTCCGATTACCTCACGCAGACACATGCTAAAATATCAGAAACTATTCTGCCTTTTATGTTTAAACCGGAGACAGACAAAAATGGAGAGACTAAGAAGAAGTGACAACGTGTAGAGTGCAACAGGACGTCTCTGAATGGTTAGTTGATGGATTAATGTTGCTGATGTGGAGTTAACTATCTTAAATTAACATATTCTGTCATGTAATCTATAAATACTCTACTCTCTATTGCATGTGAAAAGACAGATGCCTCACAAATGTGCTTGACTACAACAGCTCTAGCTCTTCTTAACATGGACTGCATGTTCCCAGGGGCGGGGTTTATGTAAATATTAGGGTTAGTGATGTCACTAACCCAGGAGGAAGCTTGTGTAGTTCCTTTGTTGTAGTCCTTAAAAAGCCATTTTTTTAAAGCAAATATCTCCCTTTGCTTTGAACTTTGAGCGTTGTAACTTTGCAGATGTGGTTTATGCTCAAACAGCAACATTACACACTAACTAAAGTTAGAAAAGTGAAATCATAAAATCAACCACCCCTTTAAGGCATCTAAAATGATAAACTAGGTGCAATGTATGTTGTTAAAAAAAACAATTCAATAATCAAAATCCATATCGATACTGAAATATCTGAAACGTTTCAAATACTCCAAATTAAGCCAAATTGAGTGCTTTTTCACGGCTTATTGCTCTTAAACATTTAAATACACACAAAATAATGCCAAAATGCTGGTTTTGTTGAGTATTCACGTAAACACAGTCAGTGATGTTTTAAGTGAACGTAAACAGTTGAGAAAGAAAACGCATGTGTAACAGTATAATGGATCTGTGCGTCGGGTCATAAAGTGACAGCAGCCTAATATTCCTGCCGCTAAATATCTATATGGCAGTTTTTCCCCGTGGTATTGATGTCAAAACTGTGGCCAGTGAAAATGCTGAGTGGCTAGTTACTTTGAAAAACCACTAGTCACAGAAAAAAAGTAAAAAAGTTAATGTCAAGCCCTGGTTACAGTAATAGTTCAGCCTGAATTGATCTTTTCAATGAAGATGGACAGATTAAATGAGAAAATATGGATAGGAACAACATGACGGTGATTAAAAGATGAGAATATTTTAGGGTGAACTTCACTTTGAGTCCGTTCAGACTCACTTTGAGCAGGTGCAGTTTGCCGCCGGATGTACGTGTGCAGATGAGGAAGTGTTTAGTGAACAGAAAACACTGGCGTTCAGCTTCTTTCCGGAGCGACAGCGAGCCCAGACGCACCTTACTCAGTTTACCCTTCTCCACAGAGGGCAGCTGAATCAGAGAGCCTACAGGAAACACACACACATCAGCTCTTTACCGAGAGGAACATTAAACAAAACATTAAAGACAGCGTTTCAGGGAGAGAGGGCAGCGCTGTCTCATCGAGAAAAGCTTCTCTACGAGACATGATGCACTAAAATGGCACATTGGGTCTCATTAGAGCACATTCACACCTTCCTGTCAGTGGGGAGCGGCGCTGAATGAGATCAGTGAAACAAGCACACACTGATATTCATACAAAACTAATGACTGACTGCAGCTAAGCTGTTCAACTTATGATTTAAATAAAGAAAAACAATAATACATATGTATTTGAAATAAATCGTTTTTTTATTTTAAAACAAATACATTTATATTTTTTTAAAATACATATATGTGTATAATTTTAATAATGTTCATTTTAAATTAATCCATATTTATAAAAAAAATCATTTCTTTATTTTAAAACAATTAAAATATTTTATACATATAAAAATATTTATTTCTTAAATAAAGAATTTTAAAATAAAAGATATATTTTGGTATATGTTTTGTAAAAATTTCTTTGTACTTTTAAATAAATAATACATATTTATTTTAAACAAATATTTTATTTTTATTCAAAACAAAATAGTATTTTTGCATAATACATATATATATATATATATATATATATATATATATATTTAAAAAAATAAGGAATACAAATTCTAAATACATAAATAATCTATATTTATTTTAAATACATTTTTACATTTGAAATTTAAAAATTCTGTTTTTATAATATATATATATATGTAAATATTTTTGTATCATTTTTGTAAACATTTCAATGTTTTTAAATACTTGAAAAAATATTATATATTTAAAAACAAATAAATAAACACGTTTTATATATGTTTAAAAAATTAAAAGAGAAATAATTAATATTTTAAGTACTAAAACTGAACATCTGACCCATAAAAAATACTTTCTTTTGCGTTACACGATAAATAGGTCGGTATTCAGTAATATTTATTAATTTAAATAATCAAACTATCAAATAAATAAATGAACAGATACTATGGCAGCATTAGCAATGAACGGCAGAACACACTGGACATCACTCACAGAGGATTATGGGTAGAAATGAGTTATTTGAAAAGGATGTGTCCTGAAATTAAAACATCTCCGCTCACACCCTTAATGAAGCGTCTCACCCTGCCGTATAAAGGTCTGACTGGTGTCCAGCAGAATATCACAGCCCTCCACGATCATTCGCTCGATCGCGAGGTTCTTGCGGATGTTTTCTGTGTCACTCACTTCATCATGCATCATTCTGAGGAGAAACATGCAAACACATCTCAATACACATTAAATAGATTTAAAATGTAGAATATATATGTTTATAAAGGCAGAATGGTAGTCAATGTAAATGTGAATTGGACAACACTGAAGCAAGTCAAGTGTGATCACATGAATGTTAAAAATAAAATTCAAAAGCCTTGTTTGCCTTTAAAACAATCACTTTTTCCATACAGGAAACTGATGTGGCTTTTCCATATCATAGTTTCATGTTAGAATAACATAAATAACATAAATTTAATAGATGATATATACTTTTTTTTAAATCATTTTATACATATATAAATGAGAAAAGAACAAAATAGTATAGAAATATATATATATAATTAAAAAAATAATATTATAAAATAAATATATATTTATTTTAAACAAATAATTTGTATTTTAAAATAAAAAAAACATTTTTATAATACATTTTTATAATCAATGTTTATTTTTGAACTGATACAAACAATAAAAATAATTTAGAATTTAGAACATTTAGAATCTTGACTCAAAGCAATAGAAGAACGCCATAAACAACGTTTAATTCTCTAGTTCTATAATCTCATTTGACTCACATTAAAGGTCAAGACACTGATCTGAATATAAAAAATAATATTAAAAATATATAATAAAATGAATATTATACCCTTTTTTAGATTTTTTTAAAGCTTTTACTCACTTGGACAGTTCCTCAAGTTTGGATTTGGCAAATTCCAGACTCTTGCGCTCGACATGTTCATGAGGTGTGTGTGCGAGAAGCTCGTGAAGGGTGATGATGTATCGTGGGATCTAATAATAAAGGTAATAATCAACAATTAAAATACAAAAACACTCATTTTTACACAATCAACCACGATTAAAAGAAATGCAACGTGCAGTACTCTAGAACTACTACTGTTTGTAAGCTGACACATTGCTGAAAGGTCAAAGGTCGACCTGAAACATGGGGTAGGTGAGGAAGGTTTCCAGCATTCGGCCCTCACAGGCAGCGTTTGCTTCATACTGCTTCAGAAGCTTGTCAAAGTCCCGGTTCTGTTTACAGTTGGCCAGAACCTGCAAGCTGTACTGATGGTTTCGCACAAACTCCTGATAAATGTTCAGCATTGGCAGCAAGATGTCGAAGAGATCCGCTGAAACATGACAGATTGCTTTTTCATCATATATTTATATTTATATAAGTGAAATTTGTCAGAGAAAACTGATATATAAGTGGTCATGGCCGCTGGAAGAAAGTCAAATAACACATTTATTTTAGTCTCAGCCAAACAAAATCTGAATGTAATTTTTGGGGTTTTATTTCGGTTATTATTATGTTCATTTTTATTCTATGTGTGGAGAGTCGAGAAGCGCTTCACTGCACGTCATTCTACGGTTGTGTCTGACGATTCAAAATAATTAAAAATAATACAAAAATATGCGGCTTGAACAAACTCACCTAAAACTAAGGTTGGCCAGTTGGCAATCCGAGCCTTCAAGCCTTGGTGGAATATCTCATGGAGAAACATTATCGTCTCACTTACCAATAAAGACAAGACAAAGAAGAGAAATGCATGGTGCATCAGTTTCAAATCAGATATTGTACTTTCAAAACAGTAACATTAACAGTCAACAGTGGGCCAAAATTTCAAATAAAGAACTGTTGAATTGTTTTAAAGTGCCCCTATTATGATATTTTAAAGATTCCTATAACAGGTTTACATGCATCCAAGGTTCACTCATACGTACATCACCTCATTTCTTAAAGAGTCTTTGAAGATTCAGTTTCTCTAAACTCTGCCATTCTGCAAAACTACTCTGCTCTGATTGGTCAGATGGCCCAGTCTGTTGTGATTGGTCTACTCTGCTCTGATTGGTCAGATGGCCCAGTCTGTTGTGATTGGTCTACTCTGCTCTGATTGGTCAGATGGCCCAGTCTGTTGTGATTGGTCTACTCTGCTCTGATTGGTCAGATGGCCCAGTCTGTTTTGATTGGTCTACTCTGTTCTGATCGGTCAGACGGCCCAGTCTGTTTTGATTGGTCTACTCTGCTCTGATTGGTCAGATGGCCCAGTCTGTTTTGATTGGTCTACTCTGCTCTGATTGGTCAGATGGCCCAGTCTGTTTTGATTGGTCTACTCTGCTCTGATTGGTCAGATGGCCCAGTCTGTTTTGATTGGTCTACTCTGCTCTGATTGGTCAGATGGCCCAGTCTGTTGTGATTGGTCTACTCTGCTCTGATTGGTCAGATGGCCCAGTCTGTTGTGATTGGTCTACTCTGCTCTGATTGGTCAGATGGCCCAGTCTGTTGTGATTGGTCTACTCTGCTCTGATTGGTCAGATGGCCCAGTCTGTTTTGATTGGTCTACTCTGTTCTGATCGGTCAGACGGCCCAGTCTGTTTTGATTGGTCTACTCTGCTCTGATTGGTCAGATGGCCCAGTCTGTTTTGATTGGTCTACTCTGCTCTGATTGGTCAGATGGCCCAGTCTGTTTTGATTGGTCTACTCTGCTCTGATTGGTCAGATGGCCCAGTCTGTTTTGATTGGTCTACTCTGCTCTGATTGGTCAGATGGCCCAGTCTGTTTTGATTGGTCTACTCTGCTCTGATTGGTCAGATGGCCCAGTCTGTTTTGATTGGTCTACTCTACTCTGATTGGTCAGATGGCCCAGTCTGTTGTGATTGGTCTACTCTGCTCTGATTGGTCAGATGGCCCAGTCTGTTTTGATTGGTCTACTCTGTTCTGATTGGTCAGATGGCCCAGTCTGTTTTGATTGGTCTACTCTGCTCTGATTGGTCAGATGGCCCAGTCTGTTTTGATTGGTCTACTCTGCTCTGATTGGTCAGATGGCCCAGTCTGTTTTGATTGGTCTACTCTGCTCTGATTGGTCAGATGGCCCAGTCTGTTTTGATTGGTCTACTCTACTCTGATTGGTCAGATGGCCCAGTCTGTTGTGATTGGTCTACTCTGCTCTGATTGGTCAGATGGCCCAGTCTGTTTTGATTGGTCTACTCTGTTCTGATTGGTCAGACGGCCCAGTCTGTTTTGATTGGTCTACTCTGCTCTGATTGGTCAGATGGCCCAGTCTGTTTTGATTGGTCTACTCTGCTCTGATTGGTCAGATGGCCCAGTCTGTTTTGATTGGTCTACTCTGTTCTGATCGGTCAGACGGCCCAGTCTGTTTTGATTGGTCTACTCTGCTCTGATTAGTCAGATGGCCCAGTCTGTTTTGATTGGTCTACTCTGTTCTGATCGGTCAGACGGCCCAGTCTGTTTTGATTGGTCTACTCTGTTCTGATCGGTCAGACGGCCCAGTCTGTTTTGATTGGTCTACTCTGCTCTGATTGGTCAGATGGCCCAGTCTGTTTTGATTGGTCTACTCTGCTCTGATTGGTCAGATGGCCCAGTCTGTTTTGATTGGTCTACTCTGTTCTGATCGGTCAGACGGCCCAGTCTGTTTTGATTGGTCTACTCTGCTCTGATTAGTCAGATGGCCCAGTCTGTTTTGATTGGTCTACTCTGTTCTGATCGGTCAGACGGCCCAGTCTGTTTTGATTGGTCTACTCTGCTCCGATTGGTCAGATGGCCCAGTCTGTTTTGATTGGTCTACTCTGCTCTGATTGGTCAGATGGCCCAGTCTGTTTTGATTGGTCTACTCTGCTCTGATTAGTCAGATGGCCCAGTCTGTTGTGATTGGTCTACTCTGTTCTGATCGGTCAGACGGCTCAGTCTGTTTTGATTGGTCTACTCTGTTCTGATTGGTCAGATGGCCCAGTCTGTTTTGATTGGTCTACTCTGCTCTTATTGGTCAGATGGCCCAGTCTGTTTTGATTGGTCTACTCTGCTCTGATTGGTCAGATGGCCCAGTCTGTTTTGATTGGTCTACTCTGCTCTGATTGGTCAGATGGCCCAGTCTGTTTTGATTGGTCTACTCTGCTCTGATTAGTCAGATGGCCCAGTCTGTTTTGATTGGTCTACTCTGCTCTGATTGGTCAGATGGCCCAGTCTGTTTTGATTGGTCTACTCTGTTCTGATCGGTCAGACGGCCCAGTCTGTTTTGATTGGTCTACTCTGCTCTGATTGGTCAGATGGCCCAGTCTGTTTTGATTGGTCTACTCTTTTCTGATTGGTCAGATGGCCCAGTCTGTTTTGATTGGTCTACTCTTTTCTGATTGGTCAGATGGCCCAGTGTGTTGTGATTGGTCTACTCTGCTCTGATTAGTCAGATGGCCCAGTCTGTTTTGATTGGTCTACTTTGCTCTGATTAGTCAGATGGCCCAGTCTGTTTTGATTGGTCTACTCTTTTCTGATTGGTCAGATGGCCCAGTCTGTTTTGATTGGTCTACTCTGCTCTGATTAGTCAGATGGCCCAGTCTGTTGTGATTGGTCTACTCTGTTCTGATCAGTCAGATGGCCCAGTCTGTTTTGATTGGTCTACTCTGCTCTGATTGGTCAGATGGCCCAGTCTGTTTTGATTGGTCTACTCTGCTCTGATTGGTCAGATGGCCCAGTCTGTTTTGATTGGTCTACTCTGCTCTGATTGGTCAGATGGCCCAGTCTGTTTTGATTGGTCTACTCTGCTCTGATTGGTCAGATGGCCCAGTCTGTTTTGATTGGTCTACTCTGCTCTGATTGGTCAGATGGCCCAGTCTGTTGTGATTGGTCTACTCTGTTCTGATCGGTCAGACGGCTCAGTCTGTTTTGATTGGTCTACTCTGTTCTGATTGGTCAGATGGCCCAGTCTGTTTTGATTGGTCTACTCTGCTCTGATTGGTCAGATGGCCCAGTCTGTTTTGATTGGTCTACTCTGTTCTGATCGGTCAGACGGCCCAGTCTGTTTTGATTGGTCTACTCTGCTCTGATTGGTCAGATGGCCCAGTCTGTTTTGATTGGTCTACTCTGCTCTGATTGGTCAGATGGCCCAGTCTGTTTTGATTGGTCTACTCTGCTCTGATTAGTCAGATGGCCCAGTCTGTTTTGATTGGTCTACTCTGCTCTGATTGGTCAGATGGCCCAGTCTGTTTTGATTGGTCTACTCTGTTCTGATCGGTCAGACGGCCCAGTCTGTTTTGATTGGTCTACTCTGTTCTGATCGGTCAGACGGCCCAGTCTGTTTTGATTGGTCTACTCTGCTCTGATTGGTCAGATGGCCCAGTCTGTTTTGATTGGTCTACTCTTTTCTGATTGGTCAGATGGCCCAGTCTGTTTTGATTGGTCTACTCTTTTCTGATTGGTCAGATGGCCCAGTGTGTTGTGATTGGTCTACTCTGCTCTGATTAGTCAGATGGCCCAGTCTGTTTTGATTGGTCTACTCTGCTCTGATTAGTCAGATGGCCCAGTCTGTTTTGATTGGTCTACTCTTTTCTGATTGGTCAGATGGCCCAGTCTGTTTTGATTGGTCTACTCTGCTCTGATTAGTCAGATGGCCCAGTCTGTTGTGATTGGTCTACTCTGTTCTGATCAGTCAGATGGCCCAGTCTGTTTTGATTGGTCTACTCTGCTCTGATTGGTCAGATGGCCCAGTCTGTTTTGATTGGTCTACTCTGCTCTGATTGGTCAGATGGCCCAGTCTGTTTTGATTGGTCTACTCTGCTCTGATTGGTCAGATGGCCCAGTCTGTTTTGATTGGTCTACTCTGCTCTGATTGGTCAGATGGCCCAGTCTGTTTTGATTGGTCTACACATTGGAAACAAAACTTCTTTATCTGAATTTCAGCTCTGGAGGATTAGAATTTGATACACAGTGAAACAAACGATGCGGTAGGATTTTCCATTTCAACACCAGAACATGTCCTCATTTTGAAGTGTATGCAGAGTGGATTCGAAAACATCGTCTTCTTGACATGTTGACAACACAGATCAATCTCAACACAGATCAAATCCAGTCTCAGCTACAACTACAGTATTTGAGGGTGGGGCAAGTAGACCATAGGCTGGCATTATGCAAATGTGTTACATTGTTACGTATAGGTTTGAGGAGAAAGTGAGACTGGAATTGCTGATGACTCATTTCAACAGTTATATTACACACTGCATGAAAGGAAAAGCATAACAGGAGCCCTTTAAGTGCATATATACCTATTGAGGAAGATACTGCTGACATCGTCATGACTAATAGGCGGTTTTTTGGAACTGGCCGCCATCCTGAGCGGCCTCAGGAAACAGTTGACCAGGATGGAGAGCTGGAGCACGTACTCCGTCTCAGCTTCCACCATGTTAAAGACGATCTGGTTTCTCTTCCTCATGCTCTCAGCGTGAGGCGAGCAGATGTAGTCCTGCACGATAATCTTCCACTTCCTTCTGCACAGCCAACCACGCATGAAGCTTTGCACCTGCGAGAAAACACCCGAGTAACTGCACTTACCCTACACACAATAACAAAAATAAATGAGACAATCATATACCTTCTTGATTTTCTTGATATCTGGATCTTCTTCCTCTTGATTGGACTGATAGGGCAACATTCGCTCTTTTGTTTTATTCAGAACAACGATCTATAACAGATAACGAAGCATATCATATTAGAGTGATTTCTGAAGGAGTAACGATGCTCAAAATATAATCATATTATTTGATTATATTTTGCAATATAATCAAATAAAAAATATATATATATTTTTTTTTTACAAAATTATTGTACTTTTAATCAAATAAATGCAGCCTTGGTGAGCAGAAGATATATAATATAATATAATATAATATAATATAATATAATATAATATAATATAATATAATATAATATAATATAATATAATATAATATAATATAATATAATAATAATGCTTTATTTAAAGTCTTTAACTCTAATGCACTATAAAAATATTCATAACGAACACCATTATGCATTATATCTTTTAAGTTAAAATGTATTATTCACATGTTCCTTGTTACATCTGAAATTGGTAGTTTGTCATGTTTTATACTTTCTAAAGGTGTGGTTACAATTATTCATGAGAGCGTTTATTCAGTTTACCATTTAGTAAAACTGTTAAATGCACACAGACGATGAACTGACCTCTGCCTTCAGTCTCTCGATCTCTGTATCCTGGTCTTCCAGTTGTGTCCGCAGTTGATTTGCCGCCACTTTTTCCGTCTCCATGATCTGCACCAGATGGATGTATTTCTGCATGAGAACTTCCCGCTCTATGATCAGGTCTGAATAACTACCAGCGACGGCAGAACAACAAAGCTGGTTAGAAACATTTTTAGAGAGAAAACCACAGAGCTAAATAAATGAATGAGCCAGTTGAGCCTTTTAAAAGACGGATACAAACAAACTCTATGCAAGTAAACAAAAGCTTATTCTCATTTCATAATGAACCCTCCTTAATTAAAGGGATAGTTCACTTTGAATTAAATTTTTGATATGTTTTATCTTACCTTAAGGGCATCCAAGATATAGGTGTCTTTGTTGCCACAGTATTTTCAATTTTGATATTTTTAGGTCAAACCGTTCTTGTCTGTCAGTCATATAATGCAGGTCTATGGTCACCACCTCAATGAGCATGCACAGAGAAGTCCAAATTAAACGTGATTTAATGACTCGTAAATGTAAGTACACATTGATGGCCTAAGACACGAAACGAGCGGTTTGTGTGAGAAAACCAACAGTATTTATATAGTTTTTACCTCTTATAATCACAGCCATGTCCAAGTGATCTGAGGGTGCGGCCGCTTCGGTCTGGAAAGCGCCGGAAGTGATCTCTCGCGCGTGTACGTCACTCATTATTTACACAGAGATTTCGAAAGTGTTATCCTTTCACTGTTAAGATCTAAACATATTTAGATATACAGGAAATCACAATGGAAGACGATTTCGATATATCAACAGACAGCGTTGATTTTTTTTCCGCAACCGTGCGAGAGATCACTTCCGGTGCTTTCCAGGTCGAAGCGCCCACGCCCTCAGATCGCTTGAATGTGGCTGTGGTTACAAGAGGAAAAAACAAAATAAACACTGTTCGTTTTCTCACACAAACCGCTCGTTTCGTGTCTTAGGCCATCAATGTGTACTTACATTTACGAGTCAATAAATCATGTTTAATTTGGACTTCTCTGTGCATGCTCTTTGAGGTGGTGACCATAGACCTCCATTATATGACTGACAGACAGGAACGGTTTGACCTAAAAATATCAAAATTGAAAATACTGCGGAAACAAAAACACCTACATCTTGGATGCCCATGAAGTAAGATAAAACACACCAAAAATTAATTTCAAAGTGAACTATCGCTTTAAATGCAGTGTGGGTCATTTTCTTTTTTCTTTTACCTTATTTTTATGTTTTTTTGAGAATCAGGGTGTCACACAACTTGCCCATGTTACACGTGTCTGATTTGATCAAATTTACCAAGTGATGATTGATGCATTGGTAAAATACAACACCATTTTTTCAATAAAAGAATATAAAATTTGAAAATAATGCAAAGAGAATTAATGCATTTTCAGTGGTTTCAGACTTTGAACTCCTTCAAAAAAGAAAAAAAAACTGCTTGGAACGACTGTGGCAAGCCTCAAACTAATCATTTATTGAGCATACAATGGCATGCAGCATGTCTATATATTATGCATCGATTTGCATGGGTTTGTTTTGAAGAAAACCAGCAGAGTTACTGAGTTATTTTCAATTTAATATCAACTTCATCTCAGATGTTTCTTCTAAAATCCCTTTGGATGAATAAAAACAGACATAATTTTTGACATTAATGTGAAAAGCAGCTCAGATAGTTCATGTGACTTTCGAGTATACCTTTTGATATCTTGTCATAGTCTGTAGCATTATTGAAATGAGTGTGAAATTACACAAGTAGCCTATTTTATTCTTTCTCAAGACTCATACAAACAAAGAGAAGCAAAAGTCTCTGTGTACATTGCCATCTAGAAGAATCAATGAAGTGATTTCCATTTCCTACAGACAAACGCTGTTCCGTCACATGCTAATAACCAGCTCAGCAAAATCACTTTTGTTCTCAAAAGTCTCAAGAGTGTTTTGTCTCTGTGTTGTACCTGGCCTGTTGAATGGCCTCCAGCCACTCGTTACAATCAGCGTCCTCTTCCGTCCGCAGCTCCAGAGGTTTCTGCCCATCGTGGCCGAAAATCACCAGGAAATAATGCTGGAAAAGATGAGATATGAAACATCAGAGAGTGAAGCATTGCGTTCGGTCCACGGTGGGCAGCATTAGAAGAGTTCTGACCTAAATACAGACGCTTGAACTCGCATGCACTCGTTCAACGGAAATGACAGTAGACGTGTTACTGAGTAATTTTGCCTTAAATCATAAAGCAGCATGTGAAAAGAAGAAGATAAAATAACAAAACATCAAGAAAAAAATATTAAAGGGGTTCAATCATGCTTTTTAACATGTTCAGCTTTCTTTAGTGTGTAATATTGCTGTTTGAGTACAAAAAAGTGAGTTATTCAGTGTCAGTGTTTCTGAACTCCTTAAAACGCCTCCATTGTAGTCTCGAGTTTCTTCAGGGAACAAACACATCACAAATATTCCTCATTTAAATAATTCATATGCAGAATAAAGGGGCGGGACATTTCCCAAACACACTTGTAATGGTTGACCAATCACAGCACACTGATCCAGTCAACCAATAAGAGCACAGTGTGCTTTCAGAAGGAGGGGCTTCATAGAGACAGGAAGTAAACAGAGCGTTACTGACAGACTGGGAAGAGAGGAGCCGCAACAATGGAGAATATGAGGAAAATAATGAACATTCAAGGATAAAAAACTTATTCTAGTAGAGCCCAAAAACGTTGGTCATCATAATAGGTCACTTTAACAGATCACGTCTGTAAGAGAAAAATAAAAAAAATAATTTTCTGACCTGCACATGTTCTTGACAGGTTTACCCTCATAGAAGTGAAAGAGCGAGAGACTGAGAGTGTTTTATAGGACGTAGGCTCGCTTAAGGGCTCGTTTGTGTTCTCATGAAGCACGGCTGGTGTGTGTGTGTGTGTGTGTGTGTGTGTGTGTGTGTGGTTATGTAACCGGCAGAGCTTCTCCTATGTCTTTAATGCGCTGTCCTGGGCCTTAGGCCTTGCTTAAACAGAGACAACAATAGACTCGACCGGCCCACAAATCCTGATTCTGTTTCACTTTCACTGACCCACAGAACTATCCTCTCCCACTGAACCCCACTCATGCACATCATCACAGGAACAATGCTCCACGGGTTCATTTCTTCAAGCAGCCCCACATGCATGTACACAGATGTGCCCTTCATTGAAATAGCCATGTCTGTGAGAAACACACTGCCAGCAGGGCTACTATTCTTAGAAAGGCAACCCAGCACTGTAATAAAAGGACACTGGCATGTGTGTGCTCATGAAACAGCACAACAAAAAACAGGGATCACTCCTTCCAGACGGACTACATCTGGAAGAATACAGAAAATCATATAATCAACATGCAATGGCATTCACAACCCATTTTAATATTATTATTTTTTAATATTTCATATTTGAAAAAATATTTAAAAACGGCAAGAAAGGCAGCTTGATTCCTACATAGTGATGAACATATCAATATGATCCAATCAGTACAATTTAAAACTATCGACACAAATAAATGTACAACATAAAACGACTGATTTACAGTGATTAATACATATAAAAGCACAATTATATGATCGATAAGTTATGACAACTTATGTTTTTTAACTAGGGCTGTCAAATGATTAATCGCGATTAATGATTTATCCAAAATAAAAGTTTGTGTTCACATAATATATGTGGGTGCACTGTGTATAATTATTATATATATATATATATATATATATATATATATATATGAAGAGTTCAGATGCAAAAGCCTCTAAATGCCATTTGAAATTTTCTTCTTTAATGATGATTTTTATCAAACTTGTATGTTTAAGTTCAGTAATTTCACTTAAATGGCAATGATAATTACCGATTAATTGTTATTTAAGTGAAATTACTGAACTTAAATATACAAGTTTGATAAAAATCATCATTAAAGAAGAAAATTTTAAATGGCATTTAGAGGCTTTTGCATCTGAACTCTTCATATATAAATACACACACACATGTATATTTAAGAAAAAAAAATATTTAGATATAAAAAAATTATATTTATATATAATATCAATTATATATATATATATATATATATATATATATATATATATATATATACAGTATACGCATGAAAATATTTCTAAAATATATACAAGCATGTGTGTGTATTCATATATATAAAATAATTATACACAGTGCACCCACATATATTATGTAAACACAAACTTTTATTTTGGATGCGATTAATTGTTTGATAGCCCTATTTTTAACATATGCTTTATCTCATTAAAATAAGTTAAACAACTACTTTTTATTTTTAAGTTATTATAAGTAATTATAAGTTAATTCAACACATTTTTTTATACAGCGGCACTTCAACATGACATCAAACCCCATTTCCATGGCAACACAAGTCACTGGCACTGGTGTTTGTTTCAAGCATATTTCACATGCATCTGAATCTTGATCACACATGTTCAAAGCGGGAGATAAACCTACTAGTGGACAGCGGGAGTAAATATCGGCCAATGAGCAAACTACTTAGAGTCACATTACCATAATCAATTATAAATTTTATTCTAAATGAAAAGCAGCCATTTCAAGCCAAATATATTTTTTTTTCCATCAATAAATGACTGTTTTATAAATATCCAGGTTAGTTTGCATATCACAAAGGCTGGTTTAATTGATTTGGCTTAGAAATCAAAGCTCAATCAGCATTTGTGTTTAAAATGCAGTTGAAGAACTTGTGATGGGCAACGATAAAAGCACTGAATTAATTATGCAAGAGGGTGTAGACAAAAACATATCAAATATTATAATGCAATTATGAAAAAAAAAAAACCTGAACTACACAATACTACACACACACACACACACACACACACACACACACACACAATAAGGCATGTTGCACTTTAGAGGTCAAATATTTGGTGGTGCAGAGGGCATCCACACACACACACACACAAGCGTGTTTCAGCCAACAGCTGATAATCTGTGTGTGTGTGTGTGTGTGTGTGTGAAGGCAGACAACATCTGCTATAACATAACAGAAGAGATTGTGTGTGCATATGGGTTTGCTTAGCTAAATATGACAACACTTCTCTTTAGGGGGATGTCCTTAACTGGAAAATGTATAAATAAATACATATTTTTTTGGTATTATTTTAAAAATGCAAGAAATCTATATATATAAATGGAAAAATGTATACATAAATACATATTTTTTTAGTATTATTTAAAAAAAATTCTCTCTCTCTCCCTCTCTATATATATATATATATATATTTCTAGCATTTTTAAAATAATACTAAAAAAAATATGTATTTATGTATACATTTTTCCATATATATATATATATATATATGTGTGTGTGTGTGTGTGTGTGTGTATTCTGTATAATGGTCACATTTACACTTTAATTTTTATGTCAGTTATTCACAACTATCAGGAGGAGATATGAAGAGTTCAGATGCAAGAGCCTCTAAATGCCATTTGAAATTTTCTTCTTTAATGATGATTTTTTATCAAACTTGTATATTTAAGTTCAGTAATTTCACTTAAATAACAATTAATAGGTAATTAATTGTACAAGCTTAAATATACAAGTTTGATAAAAATGATCATTCTAGAAGAAAATTTCAAATGGCACTTAGAGGCTTTTGCATCTGAACTCATCATATTGATGTGCGTCATAAATCCAGAGAAACGTTTTGGGATTTTTACTTTAGCCACATTGTTTCCCAAAGAGCTTAATCAGGAAATAGACTAATTGATGTTTCTCCTTTTCCCTCTTAAAGGTCCCTTGACATGAAATTTTCACTTTCTGAGGTTTTTTAACATTAATATAACTTCCCATTATAAAATGGAGAATTGAAATGAATACGATCTCCGTCCACACCAGCATTTTATCTGGCGAAACGATCGCTCATTTAATAAATAAATAACAAAGTTTGTAAGCTCAAATGCTCACCTTGCTCTGTTCTGTGATGCGCGTTCGTGACTCTCCTGTTCATCAAAATGAACAAATCTTTATCCGAGTCATTTGGTTCATTCAACGAACGAATTGACTCGGAAAAAGATTTGTCACAGAATTTTCTGGCTTTTCTCAGTCTAGAATAATTTCACCTTTTTTCTACATAAATGACCCATTTTAAATACACATCCATCTTTCCAGAGGTGAAGTATCCCTTTAAATAAATAAATTGCACCCCTTATGTTTTAGTGGGTAATTTGAATTTTGGTTATAAAAGAAGAAATGACATGAAACTCCACAACTGAGGCAGGTCCTGCTCATCAGGAACCTCAGGCTGAGGCTTTAATCGGGACAGAGCGTGTCGTGCTGATGAGTGTGGTCCCGGGATCAGGATATATCTGCTTCACAAGCAGAAGATGAGTGTTTAATCTGCAAGATGCTGCTTAACACCATTCATCTATGTGCATGCTTGTTTTTAGGCTTGGGAAATATCTTAAATTATTAAATTCCACACCTCTTGACCAGTGAATTTCCAGGATTTTTCCGTGATTAATTGATAGTGTCATTCGCTCAGTTTTATTACATTTTTAATGCAAATATGACATTGTTTGAGATGTCTTTGTTATGACACCTAGACATAAACCAATACATCATAACCTTTCAATGTCTTTGTCATGAAGACTTGACATAACTAAGACAACACAACCTGTCATAAACATGACATAGAAGATGAATGATCAAACTTAAGAAACCACACAGCCTTTATTGGTTAACATTACATTAAACTGTCAGCTGGTTGGTTCTGACATTGGCTGTCATGAAGCCATTATAACTTTTTAATGACAAATTCAATCAGTACCACTGTAGTTGAGCTCACGAAACATATTCAAGACAGTTATAATGGCCTCATGACAGCCAATGTCAAAGCCAACCACATGACAGTTTAACTTAATTTGATGTCAAGATGTCATGACAAAGACACGGACAGGTTATGATGTATTGGTTTATGTCAAGGTGTCATAACAAAGACATCTCAAACAATCATATTTGCATTCAAAATGTCATTATTGAGCAAAAGACACTTAATAACAGTTGTCATAAACATGCATAAACCCAACTTCATATGTCATGTCATGATTATGAAGGTGTCATGTCAGTCTTATGCACACCCCTTCAAGTAAAGTGTTACCATGAAGGGTTTTCGACCCGAGCATAACTAAAAATTGCTTATTCACTGTAGAAATGTCCATGTCTGTACACTTATTAGTCCACAATTGTATTTTGGAGCTGTAATTTCATTATATTTAATTTTTTTCTGATGAAGAACTAAGAAGTAAAAAATGCATGCATAAAATACAATTTTGAAGGCGTAACATCAGTGCACAGACATTTATAGACTCATTTAAAAGTTGACATATTTAATTGCAATATATGGGCTGTTATTGTTGGTTTTAACATCTTTACACCAACACATTGTCTGGGGCTAGTTGTCACATGAGGAAGGCAAGCATTCTTATATGCTTTCGTCATTTTATAATTTTTTCTTGGGCAATTCATTTTTATTTCAATTTTAGTTTAGTTTTTATTCATTTCCAGTTAATCATTTAGTCCTTCAACTCACACTTCAGGTCTTTTTGCAGAGGGAGGAGTTTTCTTATTTTCAATTAGTTTAAGTTTTTCAACCAATATTTGTATTTTATTTTATTTCAGCTTTATTTAAGGTGAGACACTACAGGCAAAAACATTGTTTTTTCATGCAACTGTCAATTTTTAGATTCATTTCCATGGTGTTTTTTTCAGACTAGTGGAAAGAAAACATCCAAAATGCACTTTTAAGGATCTTTTATTTCTACTGTAGCACTTCATCTATTTGCGTCTGTAGATTTCAATTACACTGCATATCTTTAAAGGTCGTTTTCTCAAACTGAGTTTTTCTCAGTCAGAAATCCTATATTTGGAAGCTTTTAACAGAGGGGTTTGTTCATATATAATATTTTATATATTTATTTTTGCTGATATTATTTTTTACTGATTTTATACAATATTTTATGTTGACAGTATTTTCTTATAAAAAAAAAATTAAACATGTATTTTGAACATGGCTTTATCCAATCTTCACAGTTTTCTTCTAGAAATATCTGCAAATAAATGCATAATTTGCATATTTAAACATACAAACATTTCAGATAACTTGCAATACAAAAAAAAAAAAAAAAACTTTGCAATTCTAATCAATCACCTTATTTAGCCTTAACCTCCATACCTAAATGTTTCTGGGTTTAGACAATTATAATAACTCTGGTTCATCCAACTATAATCATTTAAAATGTTAACACTTGTTATAAAATGTTCAGAGAACATTCAAAAGTGATGTTACCAACACGTTTGGACTGTTTAGAGTAACTGGAGGGGTGGTTTTGTGTGTTTTTGGTTTCACAAATCTAGTTTAAAATTGGATATTTTTTTTAATTGTGCCCTTCAAGTTCTTTTTGTTTTTTAAACGAAGTTTTTTCAACTTCTAATATCATTAGAATATCAGAACAGGTCAACTTATAAATAAAACCACACTAATTGATATAAATAGAACCACACTAACACATTTATATTTCATACATTTTGAGTCAATAAGGAAAGCTGATATATATATATATATATATATATATATATATATATATATATATATATATATATATATCAGCTTTCCTTATTAACACTAATTGTATGTTTTGGGGGGTTTGTCCTCAAAAGAAGTCAATAAGGAAAGCTGAAATATATATATATATATATATATATATATATATATATATATATAAGACCTTTAAAACTTTCATTACTGACAACTGTGTCCAATGACACACAAACACTGATAAACAGACACAAACACGTGGTGTGTGTAAAACCCAACTTCCTCAGAGCTGGCACATTCACACCACGAATGTGGCTTTAATCATAAACCCGAGTAATTAGACCACAGAGTAGATGAGATGTAGAGTGAATGTGAGGTCAGATCATACCTGCTGTTTATCGGAGCTCTCTTTCCCAACGGTGGACACTTTTGGAGCCGGAATCCTCTCGCAGGAGCATCCCTCGAGCAAATAAATCCCAGATGGTCTGGTGCTCTGCTCGTTCTCAAAGTAGAACAGCACGTTCTGGTAAAGCGCGAAGTACTTCTCGTTCCAGCGGTTGTTTTCTGCGGCTTTTTTACTCAAGAACCCACGTTTAATTCCCTCTTTACGCGCGACCATGGACAGAAAGAGCGCGTGTCCTTCATTATAACGCACGCTCTTCTGCATCTTAAAGCCCCGATTGTCACACTGAGTCCATTATCATCATCATCCTCACACACAGCAGCCAGAGATGATGATCTAAAGTCCAACCAAAAGCGCGTAAAGGAGATTCTAGACGCGCGCGTAACGCGTAATTACGCACAGCTGTATAATCGAGTGCGCGTGTAGGGGAAAAAAAGCGAAAATACAGTAAAAGAGTCAATAAATATTCTTAAAAATATGGTTTAAACTGCGCGCAGGGACGTAAGACAAAAAATACATAGAGTGAGCAGACGGTACAACAGAATCACGACCGAGATCAGCGCTAATCGGCTTTGACACCAACTTAAAGAGACAGAACTATTTACCCTCTCAGTCTCTATTTACCTCACGGTCACGAGAGACTCGCTCGAGTATCTTTATCACGTTCCCTGAAGTTAGTTTCACGCTTCTATCGGAAACACTGCAGATGCTAGAACGAATGTATCTTTATTTTCAGAAGCTTAAAAGAAAAATAGAGTCATTTTTCCATTTTTCTATAAAATTAGTAATGCTACTGCACCGCTGTTGTGTTATGTAGCCTGTGTTGTGTGTTAAGTCACCTGAAGAAAATAATACACGCTTTCCACTAAAATAATAACAAAAAACACGTTTTCCTATAATCTCTCGCAAGTAGCGTTCGGAGGTCTGATTCAAAGTACCGAATCAGTTCATTTAAAACGATTCACCAATCCATTTGATTCGCTGCCCATATTTGCGTGTCATTTGTACCAAAATATTTAAATACTGCTGTTTTTTATGTATACAAATTAGTGTGTTCTTAAATTTTTTTAGTTTCAAGCATTTTTTTTTTGTCAAGCCAACATGATCTATAGGCCTATTTACTGAATTGAAACAGCACCCACTCCTAGCTTTCGAGCTACAACCAGCAAACTCGGCTCAGAGTCAGACCTTCACATTGTTCTGATCGGGTTGTTATGACTTTTCAAACTGATCCAACTTTTCCTAAAAAAAAAAAACAAGCTTAAAAATCATAAAATCCCATACACTTTTATTGAGGGGATCTCAATCCTCCACAGTCCTCAATCCCATTATGCCCTAAAACTTTAGGCTATTACAATAACTGACTTTACAATAAGTGAGTTAAGCTTCATCCACTATGTAAAGGGAAATAATTTCAACACTGTAACAAGATTCATTTGAAAATCAAGCTTAATGTTGTTTAAATGTCTTTGTGGTGTTTTAATATGCTTTGAAACATACCACGAGTAAATAAATGGACAGCACGCTGAGTAATTCTCCTTAAAACTGCAGTGAACCAAACACAGTCTCAAAAACACGGCTTGAAATCGACCTTTTAACCAATCAGATCAACGTGTGATCAGTGGATCTCTGAGCCGAGTGAGTGAGTGAGTGAGTGAGTGGAGGCGGGGCTCATTTGCATATTCATAGAAGCGCGTTTACTAAATGAGGCAAGGGTGTCGAGTTACATTCGAGCTGTTTTAAGGCATGAATAAAACATATAAGCAAAAAATGGTTAAATATAACATTTTGGTGATCAAAGATGAGTTTTAAAGGCTAAAATGATTGACTATAGGGGGACTTTAAATTTAAAGTTGGATACACCACTGTACAAATATTGCGAAGTACGCCCCCTGGTGGCGAATGTGCAAAATCACCTACAACTGCACTGACACACATCATCACCTCTTGATAGATGATCTAAGCACTAAACATCTAAATAATAGGATTATTTGGTGCCTGTGCTGTGCATAAATAATCTGACTAATTTTCACAAGAATCTTTATTATTTATTTACTGAGCTAGTGATGCATTTTGGGATTGTCTTCTCTGTAAAGGATGAGTTGTATATGCCTCTTGTGATGCCTTTGAGTTGTGAATTACCTAACTGAGTTTTGGAACAGAGCCAATGTTTCATAAGAAGTCTGTGATCAGAAACTCATATTTCGTGAAAGCTCGTGCCCGTGAAAAAAAGGGAAAACTCACAACGCTTCTAATTTCATCTCCTCCTCCTGGCTGTATGTGACTTCACTCCTACAAAGCTGTGAACTTGTGTCTCACGGAGGAAGAGCCCACGGTACCAGACGCCCACCTGAACGCAACCTCTGCAGGGCCCATCTGTAACCACATTAAGAACATACCCAGCATGCTTTGAGACTTATTTGGGAACATGCTGAAAGTGCACCATTACTATTTGCTGCTATTATTGCACATCCTCACAGCCAAAACCCTTAATCTTCAAACATATGGGCGTGTGTGATGGTAACAAAGTGAAAATCCCAACAAGCCCAAGAGACTAAATGCCGCAAAACGCCTCATGATCGGCAAAACAAGGATAAACTGCTTCATCGAGCACGGGATCTACCAACGCGTTCTCATCCCAAAGCGCCATATAGGACGCTTTTGCAAAAGCGTAAATATCCAACGCACATGGCACCCTTTAACGTGAAATGAGACGCAGATATATTTGGGCAGATGGCGCCCCCTAGTGGTCTAACCCTTACCCCACACCATACCTAAACTTAACCATTAACCGAAGCGTCTCATTAGACGTTAAAGGGTGCCATGTGCGTTGGATATTTACGCTTTTGCAAAAGCGTCCTATATGGTCAAAGTCGGAACTTGCACACGGGGTCAGATTGAGACGCCTCACTCGTGATTTGACACGGTCTTATGAGGAGGCAAGGGAAAACATTTGGATGAGAAAATAATCGACAATACAAACAAATATTACAAACCCACTTTTTAAAGTGACAGTGCAATTTCTGAACAAAATTTTTTTTGTGAGTTTGTGATAGCTATTTGAATACGCTATCTAACAATAAATTTAGAATAAAATGTAAAAAAAATATTTCATAAACACTATGTGACATGATTTTAAAGGGGTGAAGAACTGAGAAATCAAATTTTCCTTGAGCTTTTGACATCTAAGAGGTCATCATATTATAACAATATCCTGTAAGTTTCAGAACATTACATGCATAGATGACAAACCAGATCGAGCTACCAAGCAATAAATATGCAAGAGTGAAATTCATTATAATATGCAAAACTGTTCTCCGCTCACAGCAGTGGGCGTTTACTTCCAAGTCTTCAGTGCGAGACGCCCATAAAAATCCAGCGTTTTTCAGCTCAAACTAGGGAACATTGGATTGTGCAGGCGCCACTGATTGGGACAGCCTCAGAAATCACCTTCAGGTTTCTGCCAGTCAACTCATTGGTCAGATTTAGATAAGAGACGAAACCATGGACAAAACAATGGATGAAGAAGCAGCAGGTCCATCCCAGGAATATGTCAACCAGTGGCCCCTCTCTCCAGACTTAATTTTCTTGATATTTCTCGAATTTTCTTATATGTTAAACAAAGCAACATGGTAAAAAGATAAAGATAAAATTTACTTTCAATTCCTTTTACATTCTTCAAGGTATTAACATAAACATTTTGTTACAACAACTCCATGTAGGACATTTCTCTCCATAAATGTAAGCACAGTTTTTTTTAAAAACAAGTACTTCAGTACTTTTACTTAAGTAGACATCTGACTGTTGTACTTTTACTTGTACTTGAGTAAAATTTAGCAAAGGGTATCTGTACTTTTACTCAAGTAATAAAGCTGTGTACTCTGTCTGCCTCTGATAAATATAAATTTTTATGAAAACTGTCTGAAAGAGGTTGAATGTAAGAAAAAAATAACAACACTCCTAAAAAATAAAGATACCAATGTGGTTTTGACAAAAAACCTTTCCGTTTTTAATATATATATATATATATATATATATATATATATATATATTTATTTATATATATCACCAAGGCTGCTTTATTTGATAAAAAAAAATAATAATATTGTGTATAATATTGTGAATATTGTGAAATATTATGAATATTATGACAATTTAAAATGACTGTTTTCTATTTTAATATATTTTAAAATGTAATTTGAAAGCTGAATTTTCAACATCATTACTGTTGCTGATTACACATCAGTTTTCAGTGTCACATGATCCTTCAGAAATCATTCTAATATGCTGATTTTATGCTCAAAAAACAAATTATTATTTTCATGTTAAAAACAGTCGTGTACCACCCCCCCCCCCCAAAAAAAAAAAAAAATTCTATGATGAATAGAAAGTTCATAAGAACAGCATCTATTTAAAATATAATCTTTTCTAACAGTATAAATGTCTTTACTGTAACTTTTGATCAATTTAACTTGATGCATAAAAGTATTTTCTAATTTCTTTCCCCCAAAAATAAAAAATAAATTCTTACTGACCCCAAACGTTTGAATGGTAGTGATTAATGTTACAAAAGCTTTCCATTTCAGATCAATTCTGTTCTTTTGAACTTTCTATTCATCAAAGAATCCTGAAATAAATATGTAAAAAACTGTTTTCAACATGGATAATAATCTTAAATGTTTCTTGATCATCATATTATAATAATTTCTGTAGGATCATGTGACACTGAAGACTGGAGTAATGATGCTGTAAATTCAGCTTTGATCACAGGAATAAATTACACTTCACTATATATTCACATAGAAACCCACTGTTTTAAATAGTAATAATATTTCACAATATTACTCTTTTTTTTTGTATTTTTTTAATCAAATAAAGCAGCCTTGGTGAGCAGAAGAGACTTCTTCTAAAAACATAAAAAATCTTACAGATCTAAAACTTTTGACCGGTAGTGTATTTGGGTATAAATTTGGGTATAAATATATATCAATATTTATATATAAAGCTCCAAATAGCCTTTCGGTCAGGGAATGCTTTGGCAAGGGCAACCCTGTGGGATTATGGGGGATTAGTGGTTTGTCTGTCAATCCCAAATATAGCAGCATTATCATAAATCTCAAAAACAGGGAGAGTGTGGCAATCTGTTAGTAGATGGTCTGTTTCTAAACAAATGCAAATGGAATGAAGAACCGAGATCAAAGATTTATGGATTTTGAAAAGGGCATTTTCAGTCAACAAACATCAATTTTATCTGCACCACTAAACTGAAACTTCAACAACAGAGTGCAAAACATTAAATGAACACGAAAAATACATTTTACTTTTACATTGCTACTTTTAGTGTTACTGTAAAACTATTTCTATTGCTTTGTATTGACAAACACAGATTCTGTCAGCAACTTCCTCCCAAGAATAAAATAAAAACAAAAGTCTTAAAAAAATGAAGGCATTATTATACATACAAATGTGTTAAAACTGCTCATAGAGTGCCATCTGGTGGCACGTCTGAATCAATAGGTCACTTTAGTGCTGCTTGATAAACCAAGCATTGCTCATACTGATCTGAAAATCATAGAGATTTCTATTGACATCCTATCGACCATCTAACATATTATCAATCACACCATCAACCGCAGCAACATCCTAAACCCCCAGAACACACTAGCAACTGCATACTCTGGTATATTGTATAATGGATTGCACATGTATTTTGTACATCATTCTGAGCAGACATTGCTGACTGTTAATAGAGGAAAAACAACCCTAAATGTCACTCAGTTTACTGGAAGAAAAAAAAAGTTTCACCTGATGTTCTTGAGTAGTTGCCATGACGATGCGATGGCTCAACAATTAGACTGTCCGCAGTGAAGCAGGTTCATGGTTTCTACTAACA